GGGGGAGGAAAAAAAAGTGTACAGGCGAATTCGAGACGTGTATCGTTCATTAATTAGACGAAACTGTGACACCACGGTGCTTTGGCAATTGTGCAAACATCCGTGACGACGATCAATTCGTCCGTACGGACGTTGCTGTTTCATTCATTGAATTTGAAGCTAATAACACGCATCGACGCCACGAGCTGACCAATTTTGCTGTGACCAATTGTACATAGTTTCCACATCGGGAGTAATATGTTTCGCGTTGCCGTTTCAGCCGCCGCCGCGATTGCTCCTCGATAATTAAAACGCGTGAAAGGCGGTAAGATCCGTAAAATGAAACGCGATCGAACCACGGTCCTCCCGTGTTTCATGTGTCAATAGCGTGTAAGCAGATTCGTTTCGTTCTACGTCGACGAACGTCTTACGCGCGTAGGTTTCTCTCGATCGTTTTTTTTTTCTCCAGGTTTTTGCAAAATCGAAATTAGTCGAGCATTCGCGAGGCGTTCTATATCCAGCTGACCGATTGGCAAATTTTGATTTGCTCCAAGGACATCGCGCGAAACGGCGCGGATTGGGAAATCGTTCGGAATAAAATCTTAATTTTATTACGTAGAAACTCACAGCTGCATTACGTATATACACGGAACCCCTTGGCTAAGTGCTCGAGATCGCATTACGTGTGGGATCTATTATACTCCTGTATGATTTTTGTCTACGCGATTTCTGCAGCTCTTGCTTTCTAGTAATCCACGACTATTTGTGATACTGCAATTACATAAACGTCTGCGTATTGTACTTCCGATCAATCGATACACCGCATGTATTTTATACCGACGAGCAGATTTTTCGCGAAAACAATCCGATTCCAGCGGTGTTCCACGCAGAGATATATATTCTTCGCTCCTTTTATCGTCCCGTTTTAATTATCGCGAAAATTTTTGCCCCCGCGGTGAAAATCGTCGGGAAACGTGATTTTCGGGTGGATTCGAAGGGAATCGAAGCTCTCGAACTTTGCATTCGCGCACGACAGTAACGGAAATGCAGCCTAAAGAGTACCAAGTAAATCCCTGTGGTCGACGAGCGTGCAGGCAGACGGTAGGAGCGGAATTTTCGCGAAGTCTGCATTTCTGCTTCACCGACCGCAAACGTAACCTTATGCAATAATGGGAAAGGCTTTCGAGTCGGCCAGACCGTGGCTCTCATGAATATATGGATGGATGTTCTCGCTCAAGGTGTTTATCAAGCCGTTTTCTAGTTACGCCCTTTCCTTTTTCGCCCTTTTCGCGGGCCCACCTCTTCACCTCCTCCTTCCTTCCTTCCTTCCTTCCTTCCTCGGCAAGCAAACATAATTCGCGCTCCGTAGCGACGTCTGCGCTAAAAGGAGCACCGTCGTTTCCCTTTTGCCGTTTTCCCTTTCACCTTCGTCTCGCCTTCTTCCACCACCCTTTATCCTCTTTATTCCACGGATTTGCCAACAATTTGCCCGAGTGTTAAAACATACAAGCTTTCAAAACTCTTCATTTTCACCATAGAGTCTTCCAATAAGAGAGCTACTCTCCAATTTCCAGTAATAAACTCGTCATTCTCCGTTGGAGTATTAGGTTAAACGTCGTTAGGTATATATGTACACGCGTGTGCTCTTTGGTTTCCAGTAATAAACTCGTCATTCTCCGTTGGAGTATTAGGTTAAACGTCGTTAGGTATATATGCACGCGTGTGCTCTTTGACAAGTGTGTTAATGCCAAAGATGAATCGACGTTACGACTGAAAGACACACATTTTTATCTCCGTCTGTGCGTCACGGTAACCCCGTTTCTAACACGTTTCGATGTTAGGTACCCGTAATGAAAGTGGTTCCTGTTTTAAATCGTATCGCATTAATTTCGCGGACAGAGCGAAAATATTGGCCAGCGTGTCTCGGGTGAGAGTCACGTATAATGTCAAAGTATCTGTGAGACGATTACGAAACTGGTCCTGGTAGAAAAAAAAAAGCGTGTCCCGTGCGCTGGGGAAATGTCGACGAGCGTGTTCCGGTAGCTTCGTTATTCATCACCAACACACAGGTACTCGCGCATCCGCGGAGACGTTTTTCACTCGAATCTCTCTACCCACCGGATTATAATAATCTCACAGCTCGTTTGATTGGCTCGATCTGTGTATGAATCGATTATTGGCGCATTTAAATGCATACCGCGGAACTGTAATTTGTCATCGGCGGAACGAACGAGGAGGCGGTAAACAGGGTTTGAACTACTCGTTTCCCTGTTACAAACTTCCTTTCTTTTTTCTTTTTTACTAAATAAGTCACCTGTTGCACGAAAGAAGCTTTAAAACTGTCCGACACACTGACTCAGTTTTTCTTCCTCCTCCCTTGGAAATTCGTGAAAAAGACGAGGATAAAGGAGGCGAAGACGCGACTCGAACACGTCGAGGGGTTGTGACGTTGGCGACAATGCTGTCACTCACCGTGACGCCTAACAACTTCCTTCGCCTATCGCGTATCTATCTTTTTTTTAATTAACCGAGCATCGAGCATGATGCCGGGAATCAGTCAATTAAGTACATAACGCGCGCGTGTCCGAGACAAGAGGAGAAAGTTAATAGCGTAAGGCGAGGAGGAGGCGTCCCTTTGTGTGTCGCATCGCCGTGCGTTTACTATATTTCTCCTTATTTAATCACGTTGTCGATGGAAGTGGACGAAAACGCGGCATTCCGTGATTAATTACCATCCAGCTTGATATATGAAAAAGCGTGTACATAGGCGAGCGCGAAGCGTACAAGGCCCACGTAAGTCCCGTTCTCTTCACGAGGATAACGACCCGACGATTTTCACCCGATGTTACGTGCATTACCAAAAACTTTCTTGTCCCGATGTATCTCCGATCGCATAATGAGAATGCGTCCAGCTGCATTACGTGGACCAGGTTTCACGGGATTTCGCTCGGTCACCTATGAAAGTGGTATCCTTGGGATGCGTAACCGAAACCTTTAATCGTACCACTTTTACTCTCGTACTTTACGTTTACATCATCCCCTTGCCAAATTACGTAACGCCATCTTGCACGTGGCAAAAGTGTCTCAGGTAAAATACAATTATATCGCGGAACAACCTCGTTACGCACGTCTAATCACGTCGAATTAGTTCATCGATCGAATAGACGCGGCCGATCTATCGGAGATCGAATTCGCCACGATTCGACCACGAGGAAGCTATACCTACGCTCCGTCGTGACGCAACGCTCTCTCATAATGGTAGCATCGAACGGGCGAACACCTGGCCAAAAGAACCACGGTGACAATGGAAGAGAAAAGAAGGAAACGGTGTATCGGAAGGAACGGCCACTTCCTTTTACGCCGCTCTGAAAACTTCTTCTACGGAGAGAAGCCGAAAAAAATGGTCGTTAAGGAGAACCAGTTGGCATTGCGTAAGATGTCGGGAGGCTCGATCGGAATTACGTCCGGAATCGGTTTTACGTGGCGATCCGCGCCTTCCGAAGTGAAAGAAAAAGAAACGCCGAAGAAGAAGAACTGGACGGCGCGGCGCGGAGAGCCGATCATTGCACGCTAAATTGCAGGCCTGGCTCCTCCTCGAATAAGCAGGGGGAGGGAGAGCGTGTTACGCGTGCGGCGGATCCTCGGATCCGGTAGTAATCAACCGGGCTGGTCGGTAGCCCGTGGGAAAACGGCTTAACGCCGAACACGAATGAACGAACGCCTTTGCCACGGTGTGGTAGCACAATCGGTCCACTTTAATGTCGGCGAACGAGTAGGATTTTCCGGGGAGTGGGCCAGTAGCCACGGCGAAAGTGCCGGTATATATGCCAGTGATTGGTGCGATGTAGCTTCAGTGTGCACCTTCGAACGATACCATGAGCACTCCGCAGGTGAGCTCGCGGTTCTCCACTTTGTTCACACACGATACTTATCACGTCGAGACTGTCGTTCGACGAACAACAGACAAAGGGACAGGGGGATTATGTAAGGGTGAGAGAAACGGAGAAAGTTTGCCGAACGGTGGACGACGGAATTTTCGAGTCGAAGAAGCTCTTTGTTTTATATTTCCATTGTTCTTACGCGCGGTTCCACTCTGTCGTCGTTACTCAACACGCACGGAGTGTTAACGTCGTAACCGTAAATCAGTAGAACAACGTATCGATACTTGGGGTATACTACGTTTTATCGTAACTTACTTTTATCGATGATTATCTCTCGCAGAAAAGTGTCAGGCTTTCACCGCGCGCTTTCACCCGTAGGGACATTAGACGCACCGCGTAAATCACACATTCGACACACTGGAAACACACGAAACGATCACGTAACGTTCCGTATATACACCGTTCACACCCAAGTTTTAACCCCACGTTTCTACCTTCAGAAGCTTGTTTTACTCGCCCTGGTGGCGACAGCCCTGGCCGGTGACGCGAAGGAATCGAACGCTAAAGCGGCAGTTGAACCGAAGGAAAAGAGCAAACGAGGACTGGAGCTGAGCCTTGGCGGTGGAGGAGGCTTAGAGAGCTATGGCGGTGGACTGGGACACGGTTTGAGCCTTGGCGGAGGCCTTGGCGGAGGCCTTGGCGGAGGTCTTGGCGGAGGTCTCGGCGGAGGTCTTGGTGGAGGACTTGGCCTAGGTGGAGGAGGAGGAGGTGGAGGAGGTGGTGGCGGCGATGGAGGTCGCATAACTGGTATCACGATTCATCGCGAGAACCAAGTTCGCATACCGCAACCGTACCCAGTTGAGAGGAACGTGCCTGTACCAATCGCGGTCCCAGTTCAAATCCCCGTCGAGCGTCCAGTTCCGGTACACATACCGAGACCTTATCCAGTCCCGGTAGAGAAAGCAGTCCCTGTGCCTGTGCCAGTGGAGAAACCAGTACCGTACAGCGTACCAGTCAAAGTGCCCGTGTCGGTTCCTTTCCCGGTCAGCGTGCCAGTAAAGATTCCAGTCGCGATCGAAAAGGAGGTCCCCTATCCAGTCAAGGTTCCCGTTGTCATTAAGGAGTCCTTCCCTGTCTTGGTCAGCAGCGGCGGAGGCGGCGGTTTAGGAGGCGGTTTGGGAGGCGGTTTGGGAGGTGGTTTGGGTGGTGGACACGGCGGATACGGAGGAGGATACGGAGGAGGATTTGAACTGTCCGGTTTCGGTTCACACCATTGATAGGGATGAACATCTTCGACACGGATCATCATCCACACTCATACTGTATTTGTATATAATGATTATATTTTTTTATGCAAAATAAACATTAAATTATTACATGGTGTTTGTATCTGTCGTGTTTTTCTTCACTCGAAATCATCACCTCGAATGTTCTTCTTAAACGTTAAGTTAATAAACATACATAGGTGTAATCGAGAGAGGAAGCTTTCTTCTTTTATCCTCTAATGGCGTGGAGAGTAAACGCTCCAAAGGTTGATCCGAACGAAGTATAGAAGGGAGTTGAAGAATATTTGCTTCTCAAAGGGTGTGTGAAAATGGATTTTGTGCTTGAGATCCTTCTATTCACGACGCCCGGTGTTGAAAGCTTGATCGTGCTTCACGAGCTTCTTGTCCTTTTCAATTTCAAGTGCAGGGGACGTCGGTATTAGAGATTCTTCTTGTCGCGATGCACGTCGATAAAGATTTTTAAACGATCGCGTTGTTGGACGGAACATATCCAGCTATTTCCCCCGTTCGCTAGTCTCCGTTTGATGCTCGCCTCCGCGGAAAATCGAGGCGGAATGCACGTTATAAATTAAATTATGATTCTTATCTCCCCTCTCGGGGAGCATCCTTCGCCTCCCCTGAGTCGTTTGTACTTGTTAGGTGTCGTCGCCTCGTAATGAAGAATGATTGGAATTTCTCTCGAATGCCGTTGTTGTATTTCTGTTCCTGTACTTCCCGACAACGAACGCCTGCTCCGCCAACTGTTTAATTAATTATCAGAGGTTCCAGCGAGTCCACTATTCTCTCGTCTATTTTGCCAAACTTTCGGTAATTGCGGTAGTTGCACGGTAACAAAGTTCTCTGTGATTAATCTGTCGAATATTTTTATGTTTCTTTCGACGTCGCTTATATTTAATTACGTCGAAATTCCGCGAATTTCGCGTTGTATCGCGAAACAACGTTCGTACATGTGTAACTTGTAAAACGTATTGCATTACGAGGTAGGAACGTTGTAATAAAATCGTCTGTTGCTAATGGATGGCAGACACGTGCAGGCTGTTTTATTAATTACACGCGTATACAGGAATTCCTATAAAATCGTACGATGAAAAATATGGAAACGGTGAAAAATCATTGGTAAAGTATTTCCCTACGCATTGGAAGCTTCGAATTCGCGTTTCCTCTAACCTCCTCCGTGTATTTCCGTCTCTCTAGTCGACGCTTTTACTTTGTTTGCCGCGTCAGAGGTGTGTTATTTTAAGAGTAAGAGAAAGGAAAAATTCGAGGGAGGTTTTTGCGGAGGCAGACGGAACACGCAATCGCGCGTCACGACGTCTCGTCACTTTAGCGACGTCGTCGACGCCACGAGCATCCGGTGCTTTAAACAGCGCTCTTACGGTTCGTTAGCCGCGTCTTCTCTTCATCTCTCTTTCTCTCTGTCCGTGTCTCTGCGAAACGACGATTTCTCGATACACACGGTTAACCAGAAACCGTCTTACGTGAACAGAGAGAAACCGTGGTTGGACGTGAAGGCGAGGGGCCAAGTCGTGGGGCCAGGCGTTCCGGAAGCAAGGTAAAGGTCAGACAATTTTTCTTCTCCACTTGTGCACAGTCCCTGGCGTAACGTATTGTTTAGACTGTGCTTTAACGATATTTGCGAGTAACTTTATTTGGTAGGTTTGTGGAGTAATCCACGATAAATACGTAGTGTGTGCACATCACCGGTCTTTCTCGTTTTACCTCTCTTTCACTCTCTTTCTT